TCAAAAGCCAATTTGTAACAGTCTGACTTCAGCTCTAACTTTTTTTCTGGCAGTAAAATGACAAAGTAGCTATTTTCTCCCAAAATATTGGTTTTCACTAGTTACTAAGTAGTCAGTTTGAGCATTCTTAGCCCTAAGGCAGAAGACACTATAAAAAGGCGAGATAAAATGACTAAAGTAAGATACAAACATGTGTGAAATTATTTTTTTAGTGAACATATTCTCGTTACAGTTTTGATAAAAAGTTTCTTCAGTCTGATTCATCTGTGATTATGTAATCTGTCTGCAAGAGGCTAAGAGAAACTGYAAAGCAATATAAGGGATAGAATACAATTCACAGGCTCAAATATGTATCTTTTCCTCCCAAGAAAATGTTTCCTCTGAGGAACATTACTGRATCACAGCTGGACAAAAGACTAAATCTTGATTGCCTGGCCAAAAGCCAAAATCCACAGCTACAGCTCTTTGGTATGAGAAGGCTTTAAAAAAAATCCAAAAACTTAAATACCATTTGATCTTTTTAGTTGCAAACTATGACTTCATGGCARTAAGAACGCTAAGTGAATGTGTTTAAGTTGGTTTATAGCCATCTGAAATGCTTGCATCTAGACATCTTGAAGCTCCACGAGCAGCTCAAAGCCAGTATTATGTCAACTGTGCTAAAAAGCAATAATAGTTTCTCACCWTCTTAGAGATTACTGGTTAAATAATGCACAATAGCAACAGGAAAGATGCCAATATGAAGTTAAGATGAAATTGCATCTTTTGACAGCTAAGAAATTCTGAGACACATTTTTAAATAATGAAAGCTTCATAAATGAAGCCAACAGAGTCTTCATAAGACTGTTTTGGGCTCCTCTTGATTAATAGCAGTTTATGAATCAAGACATACCCTCAAAACAGAAATTTAAGCTTAGCACACAATTATTTCTGAGGAAAGCCTTTAAATGCAGCTCAAAAGGGCATCTCCCTGACTAGAGACAAGCCCTTCCAAAGGAGTATCTTGTATCTGCCGGCATTAGATAAGTCTACTGCCTATCCACTAGAAAAAAAATCTCACTAGACTGCTCACTTTTGCAGCATGTTCTTTACTTGCTTTTAATCATAAATACTATCCCTCGTAAGTTACACAGAGTGAATAAAAAACAAGCTGAAGGAGAGAAAATGATTCTGTCTCTTGATGTAATGCAACCATGATGTAAAGAGCCTAAACTTGTGAAGGTAAATCTGAACATGTAAAAAGGAATAAAACTACGTTAAAAATGTACAGGCTACACAAAAGTGAGGATTTGAAGGGGACTTCAGAAAAACAGGGAGAGCAACTTTTTTAACAGATKGAGAGGGACAGGACAAGGGGGAATRGTTTTAAACCAAAAGAGGAGAGMTTYAGGTTAGAGTTTAGGAAGRAATTCTTCCCTGTGAAGGTGGTGAGGCCCTGGCACWGTTTGCTCAGAGAAGCTGTGCCTGCCCCATCCCTGGAAGYGTTCAAGGCCAGGCTGGACAGGGCTTGRAGCAACCTGGTCTAGTGGAAGGTGTCCTGCCCATGGCAGCAGGGAGAGAACAATGCGACCTCAAGATCTCTTCCAATCTGAACCTTTCTATGATTCAGCCTCAAATGCTGGAATAAACTGCGTGCTTACAAAATAAGAGAAMTTAAGAGAAAATCTGCATAGGGCCTTTTGCATACACAAAAACTAACCTAAAAACCTGAGCTACTTTTCTGGATGCCAGCTAGAMTCCAGGACTAAAAAACTGGAAACAGTGAAAATTATTCCCAAAAGGAAACAGAAAAGTTTTGGGTACCACAATTGAGACAGTTTAAAKCAACAACTTTGGCTCATCATCTTTCACCTTAAGAGTCAACATGCAGGTTTAATAACAGGAAAGTTTTTGCAGCTCTGTAACCTTTAACAGTGTGAGAGGGAACCAAGAGATCTGCCTAGATTTTGTCTGCATACATCACAAATAATATTTTGCARTAGGGTTAARGGGGAAGAAAAGTAAACACAGCAGRATATTGGTGCCAAGAGAGATATGAAGAGGGAAGCAGAGCTTGTAGACCTGCAAACTTGCTGCAATAAATCATACATGTTGGAATGTGAAAACATGTATTAATCATTTAAGTGTCATGCTTGAGAAACCAAAATAACACAAATGTCACCAGGCAGAGGGAATCAGCCACTAAACCTTGATGCACAGACACTGGACTCTGCAGACYTTCCAAAGGGCCCAAGGCTAGCCCAGAGCTCCAGGCAAAACAGGGGAACTTACAGAAGGCTGAAGCAGAGACTTTAAAGACAAATTTGCTCTGATAGATGTATGAAATAGGTGAGCTCTTCTACAAAGGCTTTGCGTTTGTTTTTAATCTAAAGTAGTAAAGATTATGGTAGTGACAGAATTTAAATTCAGAAAAACCCAACTACAATGCTCAGAAAGGAAACTGAAAACCAGCAAGAGGACCAAACAAGTGAAGTGCAAGTGAATATGTAGATAATAAACTCTCACGTCTCCCTGCCCTTATCCTGCAAAGAAAGAATAATCTGGAAATATTTTACTGACTACAGTTTGTAGCAGAGGGCACCAGATAACCCACATACAGGAATCTGAAAAAAATTCCTTCAAATCTTCATTGTAACAGCTACAGCCTTTCTGTTTGTTTGAATGCATGGAATCAGGTATTACTCACAGGACAGTGGACATCTGTATTCTACTCAATTATAAAAGTCTAGCCAGTTTTCCTCTCAAGCTAGGCTCCCTGCAAAGCCTCATTTCCATTYATATTATTAGGAGGCACTAAGAAGCATTGTTTGGAACAATCAGTTCTAAAAAAAAGTTAAAAATTAACAACTATTCATGCAAGAAGGAAATGAGACATAGACATCCATGGAGGGAAGAAGGGAATGTGATACACCCAAAAAACTATGCCTAATATTCCTACATGTTTGGAAATATTATCCAGTCAAAAAAAGAAGTGCTTTGTCTTGTAAATGATTGCGCATCACCTATAGAAAACAAAAACAGGGTTATACAATGGCAAAACTTCCAAGACATAACCAAGATCAGCTCTACAAAGCCAGCACGTGCCAGAAGGGAAGAACAGCTATACACACTGAAAATGTTTCCCATTTCACATGTTCTAGGGTCAACCCACTTCTGTTTATTCAAGACTGTAGGAGACATCTGCACCTCTCCCACTCTACTGATGAACAGAGAGAAGTGCTACAGAAATTACAGTTTGGCTTTTCATTTTTAGATTTGCTGAGGGGACCACACATCATCTGAGAATTTTTACACTACCATGATGGACATCACACAAAAACTCATAGTGATATTTTCCCAATGAAGAAAGCTTTTCTTAATGCATCTTGCTAAAGGGTAAAAAGAAAAGCAGGGAGAATCTTTTCAACTGTGACTGAAATTATTTACAATATAAAACCRCACAAGGGGCTGAGCTTCCTTTTCTCAGGGCCTGTTTACTTTCTGTGTTGGCTGAGCTGAATTTCCATCAAGTAACACTTTTTACAGTATTGCTCAAAGAGGAAATGTTTTCTCCTCCTRTATTTGCTTTCCTTTGCCAAGACTCCAGCTGGCAATGTGGAGATGGGGGTGTTCAGCCAGGAAAAGAGAATGCTCCAGGGACACCTTAGAGCCCCTGCCAGTGCCTAAAGGGACTCCAAGTGAACTGGAGAGGGACTTTGGAGGGGAGCCTGAAATGACAGGACAAGGGGAAATGGTTTCCTACTGCCAAAGGGTAGGGTTAGATGGGATACTGGGGAGAAATTCTTCCCTATGAGGGTGGTGAGGTGTTGGCAACCCGTTACCCAGAGAGGCTGTGGCTGTCCCATCCCTGAAAGTGTTCAAGGCCAGGTTGGCCAGGGCTTGGAGCAACCAGGTCTAGTGGGAGGTGTCCCTGCCCATGGCAGGAAGTGGGAACTGGGTAAGTTTTAAGGTTCTTTCCAGTCCAAACCATTCTATGTGACCTGTGACTTGTTATAGTAGTATTCATACAAGTACCTTCTAACATCAAAATCAATTTTTAATAGAGAAAAAYGTAGGGAGAAGAAACTGCTTTGCTCACAAGAGTTAAGAGGGCAGGAGAACAAAMCTATTCTATGATTCTACGATGAGAATGCAGGACAAAGTAATTGCTTAAGGCAGGAAGCCACATGAGCACACACACTTCAAAGAACATAAATTAAAACAATGTGAATACAAACTATTTATCACCTGCTGAAGTACAGTGGGTAATAAACTGCGTTTCCACATTTAGAAAATGAAGTTCACCTCAGCTTAAGGAGAGCTGGCTAAGCTTCATGTTCAAACAATTGCTGCAAGATAAACCTAAACTAATTTTAGTCTTAAAACATAGAAACCAGTCAGATTTGATTTTCTGCGGAACAAGAGTTTGAATCCTCCAGAGTGAATCAGAGCAGAAGCACCCAGGATTTTGCTGGAAGATACTATAACCTTCAGTTATTTACTAATGTAGCTTCTCCTTTAGCAACAACACTCAACATGCAACAGCTGTTTTCATTAGCAGAAATTATACTACAAGAGAGGTTATGCTGATTATCATTCAGATTCCTATGCAGCTCACTTGAATTACACAGTCAGGGACTGCCGAGGCTATCACCTGCTCTGCTAAGGCAATTTGATACAGAAGGTGCACGTGTTACCACACRTTAATTACAGTCTTAAGACAACAATTAATTCACTTTCCTCTAGTGAAGGACATTGTTTTTTCAAACAGGATTCCCCTGCTACATCATCTCTACACTGAGGAGAGAGAAGTGTTCCATCATATGGAAGAATTTGTAASAGCAGAGTAGAATGAGTAGAATGTTGAGGACAGTTACAGTGTCTGTATTTTGGGAAGGCCATAATCTCACCAAGCATCCTCTGCTTATGAAGAGGCGTTGCTCGTTTGTCACAAATCCTTACCTTCAATTTTTTTGTAGCATCCCCCTCTTTCTTTCAAATCACAAAAAATAAATACTTACCATCTAACCATTAGCCCAAGCTCCATGAAGTTTTTCAGGTTAGGAAGAGTTTGCCTTAGATCTGGAGTACTTAGCCCATGCTGATATCTAAGCTACAAGAACAGAAAAAAAAGTCCTAAAATTAGCACAGCTTTCCAAATCCCAAAGAATATAGCATCATARTCAGTTAATTTACTAGGTTTTTAAAAAATCTTTTAAAGGAGATTTAAAAAAAAATCTTTTTAAAAAGGATGATTATCCAGCAGTTCCAAGATATTTATTCTCCTCAAGGAAATGCTCGATTTACTACTTGTATTAGAAAACCCACCTAAGAACGGAGACAAAATAATCAGTCAATCTGACTCTTAAACCTCCTTACACTATTTCTATTTTCTATCTACAACAGGAGAGCAGCTGCACAGATTAATAAAATCACACCCATTACGGGAAAAGACCAAATTCCAACACAATGTTCTGTATTCATGAATTCCAAATATTTGTGTGTACTTGTCAGTCTGAGTGCATCAGTGTATATGGAATCACTAAGAGAATTATTATAGTAACATCAATGAGTAAAAATATATATTGTCACAATTGATCAATATCTGTGCTCCTTATACAATTCACATCAACATTTMAACTCCCATTATTAGCATCATAATTAAATCCAGCACTTAAATCAGATGCCATGCCATGTAGTGATGATAAAGGCTTAAACATTGACATACTTAACCTGRATATTGACTCCTGCAAGTTGTTCTTACCCTTAGATTATCAAACGATGTACACATGACATAACTGTCACTGCTGGGAATTATGAACTCCATGTTTAAGTCTCCAGATTAAAAACACCTCCAAAGAAAACAGCACATGGAAGGGAAGAAGTCTGTCTTTCAAGTTAGAATCTCAAAACTTCACAGAACTTTGCAGAGAAAATTATCCCTTGTATGGTTAACATATGAAAAAAAAAATCCCTACATACCAGTATCTCTAAGGTGTCTTGGGGTGATTTTAGGATGATATTCTACTGCCTTATTGTCTGCTCTGTGCCCTGGAATGGTTCCTTTAGCTTTAAGATGGGTCCGGGGAAGGGCCGGCAACTGCAGGAGCTCTTGTGCCAGCTTTGTTTTCAGCCTCACTCCTGTGTGCTCAGCTTGTGGTGGGGATGGGTTATATTGCTGTTTTTAGCCAGCTTGGGTCTTGTTAGCTTAGKCAAGAAGTTTCCTTCCCTGGACTGCAGTAACCACCCTCTGGTGGCTTCTGTTGCTCCTTCTGGAACTGTTTGACYTGGGTTTTGGTCCGAGATCAGACAATCCCAAGGAGACGGTCAGTGACCTGCAGGGAGCTGCCAGAGCGACTCCGCCTGGCCCCAAACCTCAGGGAAAGCTCAATCAATGATAGAAAGGACTCTGAATCCACCAGCTTYGTCTGCTGYGAGGAGAAGACCAACACTGGAGGTTCAGCAGGCTCCCCTCTGTCTTCCTTTCTCCTGAGCCACTGCATGGACTGTTCTTCCTTGACTGAGCAAAAAGCCGGCACCATTTCGTTTTTTCTCGCCACATGATTAGCAGGTTTGTTTCCCCTTCCCCTGGCATTTTGGGTTTTTTTTCTTCTGCTGTGGGTGGGTATGTGTGAGTGGGGGTAAGGCTCTGAAGGTTCAATATCTAACAGCTAGCAATTTTTTTTCCCCCATACAGTGCGGGCACTCTGTCAATAAATAGCTGGCTTTTTTCACTTTCACTGATGAATACTCATTTTGYATCGGCAGGAAAGGATTACTGAAACCCTTTTCTACAGAGGAAATGCTCATTCCAGAGTTTTCTCCCAAACTTGTCTCTAAACCRAGATGTAAGGCTATTGGAATGAAGMACTACCAATTTMAAAGGCTGTTCTCAGCATATGTTYACCATAGAAGTCTCCACTGCACTCCGATACAGGCACACAGTAACTGCACGAATTCAATGCTGACAGAGCTACTTACTCTGAAACATGGAACAGTCCCATTCAAAGTTAAATTTCTTTTGTTTAGAATTACACACCTGTTTACATAATTGCTGACAGTAAGATGCAGGAAAGTATCTTGGGTTCCAAAAATTTCTGAYTTCTCCCAAACAATTAGTTTAACAYAAAAARAGGCTCTTGAAATTGGAAATTATTTTTATGCTTGTCTGAGTTTCAGARAGAAAAATTACTTTGGAAGAAAACCACCCTCAGTACTGCACTGTACAACAAGCAGCCATTTATTACAGTTTATTATTTCCATATGGACAAAGCCAAGTCATATGGTGGGCTTGGGTTCATATTTTCTGCTACAATGACAGAACCTGTATTAAGACAACCATAGAATATAAATTACAAAACCATCACCACAAACTCCTGATGGGATTATAGGGAATTTGGTTAATTGGAGAACTAGCCTGGAGCAAAGGACAGAAAGAAGAAAAAAACACCAAACTGAAAAAATGTAAAWTTGTTCTTCTTCCAAGAATGAAAAGTTCATGGAATACCCCTTTTTATAGTCATCCTTACATTTTACAGTTTCAGAGCACGAAGTTGGACTAAGGGACTTGTTTATTTCCAACAGCCAAGATCAGAGGAACACATGGGAGGCACTAGTATCCAAACATGAGCAAAACCACTGGTTCTACTAAAAGACATTTTCATATTGCTAATAGTAGAGATCTATGCTAAGTAAAGTTAGTATGCACGTTTCATGAAACCTCTAGAAAAAAGTTGCTACTTAATTTCATAAAGTGCATACTATTTTGGCTTTGTAATAGATTCAAAGTGTGTCTGTGTAACAGTATGTTCCCTGCCATAGGAGGGCTTATCTGTTCTGGCTATCAGCTGGTGCAATAGCTCAGGGCATCTTCCGCCTCACATGAATTTACTAATTGGTGAAATAACTTCAAGCCAGGACATCTGTCTGGTAGTGAGTTATTTCTGGTGCCATRGAGGTGACATTCCCAGGTGACAATAAACAGCTAGCCTTGAGAGCARGATTGAYGGAAGACAAGCTTGAGTTTMTGACTGACAGACACTTCACTTTACAAATTACAAAAGCTAYGCACAACTTCCAMAAAGCAGAAATCTTCTGCACATGTTCTGGAAATGTGTAGGGATCTCTCTTCAAGGTTTGGGATGCCACCCCTGAGTTATTCTCTCAAGAGCTGTGTGAAAGGAATCTGTGTACCCCATTGCCAATCTGGTGACTCCTTCCTCAARGTACCAATTCCACAGCAAAATGTTAATTCATCAAATCTACCAGTAGAGATACCCTGTTTGTTAACTAAAATACAAACCTGCAACRGTTCCGTTACTTTCCTATGAAGTCCGTAAGAAGTACAAGTACTAGGACTACTAAAGTTTTCCAAATAAGTTGGCTTAAAAAGAAACCATTTAGCTATCTTTCTGTTTCTGGGTAATTGTACATTGCAGCAAAGATCAAAATCAGGGGTTTTGCCACTCTGAAGCTGCTCTTAAGAAAAAATAATGATATCTTGCATTTACGTGCAAAGAACAACAGTCCATTTCCTACCCTAATTCCTGCAGCAGTATTTAATCACTAATGATATACAAGCATATACATTTACTTCCAGCCAGAAACCACAGAGTACCTGGACTCGAATAGCTTTTTTTGGGGGAGGAGTACAGAATGATTCCACTTCTAAACTCATYTGTTCATCATTTCTCATACTGTTTCCCTAGCTATATTCATCCTGTTCTAAGCCATGTGGAAGCAGTCTAACAGCCACAGTATCCTATTAAAGTTCAAAATAGCAGCCATGTTAGTACATATTGTGCATAACACTCAAGTCTATGCTGAAATCTGCTGTATTTTGGACTTCCCTTAGTCCCCACTGCAGGCAAATGATCCTTAATGTTGTAGCAGTACAAGAAGTGAACCCACCCACCACTACACTATGCAAAGGTCTTGCAGTATTTAAGGCAGTCAAATGCAATTTTGAATTATTTTCAGCTAAATGAGGAGTTTATCTTGATAGCATCAAGAATTTCAAAAGAACATCTGCTATGCAAATGTGAAAACCTACAAATAAAAATAAAAGCAAAAGTTTTCCTTCAATCAAATTTGCAGAGTTGGTCACAAGTCAAGCATTTGCATAAGGTTTTCAGAGGATGTCAAACACTGAGACAGAAATATCAAATTTATAAAAGTTTTAACAAAATGACATAGTTAATTGTTTCACAAGATCCTGGATGACTTTCCAGAGYACGAAGGAGCACTGGCAGGGATTCAGATGACTAAGCACATCAATAATGAAAACAGAAAGTGTTGTTATAATGCCTGTTGCTATATAAGCAACCATGGGGGAGCAGTGAAATAATGTCTGCTGCTATATAAACAGTTGTGTGTGTTTATACCTTTTGGGGGCAATTACAAAATTTTAACTTATTGAACTCTTGATGTATTGCTTGCCTTTGTTTTACTGAATCTAGCTAGTTGTTCTAGCTCTGAACACCTATGTGGGTTTACTGAAAAACCCTCAAGCTACAACATTAGTGAAACATATTGTGGTATCAATAGCTCTTTAGATAATATACCTCCAAACTAAGCATTAAAAATCACTTTCATTTTTCATACTTAAAAGGACTCTACTAAAAAGAYTCATCAAGTATCAATTACAGTTGAGAAGTAAATTAAGCCAAAGGTTTTTTAAAAAAAAATTAAGAGTCTTGGAGAAGTAGGAGTTAGAAAAATAATCACTGTGACTATAAAGTCCTCAATCTTGCTTTCAKAAGGAGCAAATAGAGGACTGCCATAGTAATGACAGCCCTCATACAAGCAAGAGGAAGTGCTCAAATACAACAGCTATTTCAATGGAAATTATGACTTATCTTCATATGTCAACGCCTGCCTCCCTCTCCTAAGAGTTCCACCTGAAAAGCAGATGTTTACTTTGCAACTCTTCCAAAAGTATTAAACAAGAAGAAAGCAAGTTAAATCCACATCCTTGAAGACTCATGTCCTTCRTTAATTCATTGCACACATGTTTTCAAGCTCCTCAAATTGACCCCAGTACATCAAAAGCCTTCACTGAAGCCATCTTGAAGGACACCCACCACAATTTTGATTTAGCAATAGCAAATAAGG